TATCACTGCATCTAAACCAACAACATGCCTGTTAGATCCTGTACCAACTAAATTACTGAAAGAGTTGTTACCAGTAGCAGACGAACCGCTTCTCAATATTATTAACTCGTCGTTATCTTTAGGTCACGTCCCAAAACCATTCAAGCTGGCGGTTATTAAGCCTCTTATTAAGAAACCACAACTAGATCTTAGTGAACTGGCAAATTACAGACCCATTTCAAATCTTCCGTTTATGTCTAAAATTTTAGAAAAAGTTGTGTCTTCTCAATTGTGCTCCTTCCTGCAAAAAAATTATCTCTATATGAATAATTTCAGTCAGGTTTCAGGCCCCACCATAGCACAGAAACTGCACTTGTTAAAATTACAAATGACTTGCTTCTTGCGTCAGACCAAGGCTGCATCTCATTGCTAGTTTTACTTGATCTTAGTGCTGCGTTCGACACCATAGATCATGACATACTCGTAGATCGATTACAAAACTATACAGTTATTCAAGGGCAGGCTTTAAGATGGTTTAGATCCTACCTGTCCGATCGCTACCACTTTTTTTATTTAAATGGGGAGTCATCTCAATTATCACCAGTAAAATATGGAGTGCCACAAGGATATGTCCTAGGTCCTCTGCTATTTTCAATATACATGTTGTCCCTTGGTAATATTATTAGAAAATGCGGGATTTGTTTCCACTGGTATGCTGATGATACTCAACTATATATCTCAATGAGACCAGATGAAACTTCTAAATTATCTAAGCTAACATAGTGTGTTAAAAATGTAACTGTATGTTGTTTCAACCCTGAAACAACATACAGAACTACCAAATTTTGCTATAAGTTTGATTGCATCATATAATAATTGCTGTTAATAGTGTTCATCTTCTGTTTGATTACGTCTTTAATTGATTTTTCCATACATTTCTGCCATATGTACATAAACTGACAGTCACCACTGATAAGCTACTACTAAATATTGTAGAAACTTAATTTTCTGTAAAGTTGCTTTGCAACGATTTGTATCATAAAAAGCGCTATTCAAATACACTTGAATTGAATTGAATTGAATATTCTGACAGAACATGTTTATTTATATTGTGTTGCCATTTTCTTCTGCCATTACACAAGACTACCGCCTGTTGTCAAATTACTTTAACCATTCCACAAACCCAGAGCAACTACTTGCAATTAACTCCACAAGCAGTTGCATCTTGTAAATAATTGATCCAGTGGGAGTTTGAATATTGGCCCATTATTTCTTTGCAATGCTGAACCAATTTCACTTATGTAGCAAGCATATTTTTGCAAGTGAGAATAACAAATAATTTCAAGTGACTAAATTATAGGCTAGAATCCCATATAATTAATTATACATTCCGCTGGTCTGCGGGGGGAAAATGGCTGTTTGAATAAATACTGTATAAACAGTGCGAGTGCACTTGACTCATGATAGAAACACTTGATTAGGATGTACTGATTTTTCATAGTCACAAATCAGCCACAGATTTCATAAATCTCCACATCAATCTGACTTTACCTTAACATGTACTATATGTAAAGCGGGTGTGGAGTATAATTTGTATTTTCACTGCTTCAGCTTTGTCAGAATAGGGAAGGATACACCCCGCCTGCAAACTGCAATAATAATTTTGAAGTGGTTTGCCTGTCAGCAATGTGCTGGAAAAGTGCTTACAACACTGCAGGCCACACAGGCACTAAATATGGGAGCCCTCCATACTGGTGTCGATCTCTTGAAACTCAACCATCAGTCCTTTTACCACACATAATGCATTTTCGACGTGCTGGGTAATGGCTGTAGCCTTAGCCCCCATTAGGCTAGTTAGCGTAGCCCCTTGTCACTCCCTACGGACCCACCAAGGTCTGCCACTCTTCTGCCAGAACCGTAGGAGTCAAACATAAACACAATTGCTATGGACTGTAAGGGGCCAGAACCCAGATTTTGGACACCTTTAATAGCCAGACCTTCCCATGGGCTCTTTAAAATTGGATTAGCCATACTTATTGGCTTCTCTGGCAATGCTGCATAATTTGTTGACACTTATCGGTGTAAAACAGTCACCCGGCTGCCGGTGCTGTGGCAGAAGACATGAGCTGTTTTGGCAGCCCTGCCTATAGTTTTGGGCTGGTTGAAATTATGCAAATCTAATTTTTTCGACTGATGAACACTTGCAGAAGGCTACATTTCTGGACATCTGGACACCTGGCACACTTGGCAATTACAATAACTTCTGTTAACATGTTTTACAAATCAAAAAATAAATATTTTATAAACCAGAGATGAGTAAGAGTAAAAATAGCTCATGTAAGAGTTATGTCATAATTACAGAAAATTTAGTGTTTTTTTTTTCATTTTAATAAATTAATTTGAATATATTTTAAAATGTAATGTGCTAACCCTCAGACAACATACAAAACTACCAAATTTTGCTATAATTTTGATCACAATATACAGTATAATCAATGCTGTTAATGGTGTTCACTGCCTGTTTGATTACATGACATTAACTGTAGATCAGTAGTAAATCAAGCAGTTTTTACTGTACATTTCTGCCATATGGACATCAACTTGAGAGAGTCACCACTGATAAGCTATTACTAAATATAATGTAGAAACTTTAATTTTTGTGGAAAATATGATACTTTTTTCATTCTGTAAGGAATAAAAATTGTGAAAAAAACACAGTGATAATTAAAAAAATTACATATAAATTAATAAAGAAATATTTAATATGTCCTTGCTGAAGAAATGCATACATTTCTTGAATAATAATAATAATAATAATAATAATAAATAAAATACAATTTAAATACAAAACAATTTAACTAACCCTGTAGTGTACATGTTTTTTTCCTCAGAACATGTAAATTAATACAGTGTTGTAATTGCAACAACAAATAACAAAATGCAACTTTTATAAATTTAGAAATGAGTAAACCTAAAGGAAAATAGATCATGTAAGCATTAAATCATAATAACAGAAAATGTATCATCTGTGAAAAAAAATACAAACAAAAAATACATCTGAACGAACAAAAGTCAAATAAATTACACAAAAAGACAATTATGAAAATTTTTAAAATCATAATCTCTGTGTCTATTAATAAGAAAATGCCAATAAAAGTAATCTCTGTATGTTTTTTTTTTCCTTAAAAGACTGAGGTGGCTACTGGCTGTTTAACAGAAGATAATCTGCTGCCATTGCTGGCTGCAAAGCCCTGTGTGACACTGTACCGTGAAACAATTAAAATTAATTTGGGTTGAGGAAGGAGCACATCTTGAGTCCATGTCAGGCCTGCTTATGCTCTGCATGACTCCCTTTTTCAATTATTCTGCTGCTCTCAAACAGAGCCGTTTGGGCTTCCAGATTGGCACAAGAAATGAATGATCAGCGGGATTTGGCTCAAATGAATCCTCGCCCCACGGAGCATGCAGGAAGATTTCTCTCTGTCTCCCAGACTAAAACCGAACATAGGCGGACCATGTTTTTTTTTTTCAATAACGTGCCGCTAAGCACGTTAGGTCAACGTGAAAACTGCTAAGCTTGCTGTGTGTGGTTTGCATGCAGAATGAGCTCATGGAGTACAAACGCTAACAGGAAACTGAAGTGTCAAATAAGAGGTTTAAACACTCTAACAGAACATTTGGATGATCAGCATCAGTAAGGGTGAGATTTTTCAGTAAAGATCTTCTCTCCGGATTTCATGCCTAGACAGACACCTCCAGCAATTATATTCAAGAAAACTGTGATGCTTGTTATACATATTATAAACAGAAGTTGTTGTCACTATAGCAACAAGGCTGTGTTAGTCTAGTTAGTTCAAGCAAAACACTCAGCATCATACTTGTGTATGACTGTATTTATTCTTTGATTTTAAGTGATTTTATCATTCTATTTCATGACACTGCTGTCCACAGCACAGTGCTTTTTTACGTGTTTATTAAATACACAATCATCTAAAATGATTGTATTTACTGAATTTTTATTATTTAAATAATTATCATTTAAATAACTCAGGAACAACCACAGTATGTGAAACCCTGTTTTAAGGCATCACAGACATTCTTTCAATGAGAACGTATCCTTGTATGTATCCTTCACAGAGAAGGCAATTCACATTGACAGTTTTGGTATAAAATAAGCCCAAAATGGTGGACAAACAGATTATAAAACCTTGCATATTCAAAAATCTTAAACCACTTCAATAAATAAAGCACTATTTTATTTTGTTGATATTAAATCATGTTGAATTATATGGAATTTACAGCATTTAGATAATTACAGACCCACCTTGAGGTTGTCTGCTAGGATGGTATATCTCCAGATCAAACGGCTGGGCGCTTGTCTTTTGGATAACGGTTACATTGTGGCCTGTCCATTTATTCGCTCTGGCTAAAGTGTTGGTCCTCCAGTCTGTCCAGTACACACCACCTCCAAAGAGAGACACAGCGAACGGGTGTGACAGGTACTCGTGGCCCCTGAGGATCTCAATGACCCCCGTGCCATCATACAGGGCTGAATATATTGCATCTGAGCTGAAGGGAAAAAGAGAAACATGAGGTGTGAACGGCACTCTATGCCCATATCAAAACGATGTTATAGTGATGACAACTTCCTGAGGGAAATACTGAAGAGTCAAGCACTGAAAGTACAGCGTAAGAATAAATCTATCATAATTTAATTTATTCCTTTTGGTTTAAATGTATTAAGTATTATGGTTGTTTTATAGAATGTTTGAGTTTTTATATACATATATACAAAAAAAAAATTTACCTAAAAAAAAAGCATTTATGCAAAAACACCTAGACTTAAAGTCAGCGTTTCTTGTAAATTAAACCAAAATGTAATTCTTCATTTGCATTTTTATTTTCCCCTACCGAGCATCTGTCCACACTATTCTCCTTTCCTGATGGTCTAGCGTGAGTCCATTAGGCCAGGCTCCAAACTCCATGTCCTTGTACACAACATGTCTTCCACTTCCACTCATTGACGTTGCCTCAATCCGAGGAAAAGTGGCATCCCAGTCAGTCCAGAATAGCATGCTACATAGAGATTAAAATGATTAGAAACTATTCATCTTACCATATAAGCCCATCAGTGTGAACATTTCAAGTCAAAATAATAAAATACTAATAAACACATCTACAACACACTCTAAAATATTTATTTTACCATCATTTTCACTCATCATGATTCAACTATTAACAGATCTCTGCAGCTGCTTTAAAACAATATGTATTGTGACAAGTGCTATACAAATAAACATGGGAAGTATATAGCGCAGGGAGCTGACTCAGAATAAAGTTATCTGCTAGAATATAATTCATTTTCAATGAGCGATTCCATTGGTCACAGAACTTAGAGCGAGCACAAACCTGTGAAACTGTTGCATTTGAGCAATAGAGGAGTGTGTGTATTAGAGCTGTGTGTGCAGGGCTGCATCCTATGCTGCCATAGAGAACAGTGCCACTTTACATCATTAAAAAAACCCATTAAAATGTTTATGTAAAATAGTATATTAATCTCAAACTATTATTTTTATATGCATACTGTTAGGTTCACTGGAAACTGTCTGCCAGTGAAGTCAATGTCAAACATGAGTGTTAATTTTTAACTGATGTCACAGTTCTCTGGGGTGGCATGAAAACAAAGGGCACATTCTAATGTGGGTATTACGGGGATTATAAAATGCTAAATACTTGCATCAAGCTCATATGCTAATGAAATATGTGATCATGTTCCTGCATCAGGCATCAAAAACAATTAAATTGTCAGCCAAACGTTTGAGGCGAATGGAAGGATAGGCTTCACATGAATTTTGCTACAAGGATGTAGCCTTCTTTTCAGAAGGCCAATTAATTGGCCAGTGGCGTACATTTATTAAACCAGGCTTTCAATGAATAAAAGAGTTGCTAATTACAAAGACAGCTAATCCTTTCAGAACTACAAAACATTTTCAACACACCTCTCTATGACACAGCTGTATGGGGCATTTCAGAGTAACTATGTAATGAATTTGGTGCTTTTTAATATGTGCCATGCTGCTGAGTGTGAAATCAATCTTTGAATATTTCCCCTAATTATTCTTTTCAGCTTTCAGTGAAATAATTTACAGTGTGTCATCCAACTGAGCTTCAATATGAGCTCTAGTTGGACTGCGGAGATACCATATTTCTCCTCTATGGGTTGCTCACAGGGTTTGGCAAAAAATGTTTCAGCTGCATAAAACAGGCAAACATAAGCCACAATTAGGGCTACAACAGCAAATCAATAAACATCTATAAGAACTGATAATGAAAATAATTTAATTATATATTTTTTGTGCCTGTGTGCTGTTGCATGGTAAACTGCCATCAATAGCATGCACTATAATGATAAATACATTTGGGGAAAAAAACAAAAAAACTAAACAAAAAACACAGCTTTCACAGATGTGAGGATAAAGTTTTTTCTTCAGCATTTACATTTTACTGTTATACATTTAAATGTAAATGCTGCAAATTAAAATTTTGCTAAATAGACTGTACTTAGATAATACAGCGAGTTACCGTTAAACTTTGATACAAAAATAGAGAAAATATGTGTATCAGCACCTCATTTTGAATAAAATGTATTTATATAATATTATATATAAAATTAAGTTACACATTTAAAATGAATTTCATTTTTATAGCCCTCAATTGGCAAGATGTGGAACAAAATGTCTTCATTTATGGGTCCCACTTGGTACCTTTGCGGTCAAAAGTGACCAAAGCTTTGTAATGTAATTTTTTCCCCTAGGAAAATCAATCTAATATATTTTTGTTCAATATATATATATATTTTAATTATTATTTAGAATTTGGTCAGATTTTATGTTACTGTGCAATATTTATAAAATTTTTATGAGCTATCTTTTTCTATTACATTTTTTCCCCGTATTTTTTTAGTATTTCCCATTCATTTCCTATGTTGTCCATTTTTGAGAGTGAAGGTACCAAGTGTTACTTTTTATTTTTCAACTTTAACATATCTGAATCATGTCCATGATTTTTTGTGACTTCATATAGCTAATGCGACAAAATCACCAAGTGTCGTCTCATTCCGATGAAGCAAAAAATTTAAAATTTCAAAATGTAATTTTTTTTGGTCAAAAGTGACCGAAGAGGCCCAGAGGGTTAATAAATTATTAAAATAATGTAAAAAAATAAATAAAATCTAAATCTAAGAAATATTTGGCATGCTAATTATCAAAACATAACAAAATAGGTTATATTTTGTAATACTATATATAGTATTGTCATTGTCGTATTATTTGATTACAAATCATCTATCAAATCCATCAGTTCTGGTGTACCTCAAGGTTCTGTTTTGGGCCCCTCTCCTCTTTACCATTTATATGCTACCAATTGGACAAATAATCAAGCGCTATGGGTTTAACTTCCACTGTTACGCAGATGACATTCAAATTTATTTTAGCGGACCTTCCACTTCAGTGTTCCCTCCGCCTGCATTAACAAATTGCATCAAGGAACTCAAGCTTTGGCTGGAGGTAAATTACCTTAAATTTAACTCTGATAAAACAGGTAATTCTGATTTGCTCTAAAGCTGTTGTATCTAAACTCTCTGGTCAACTGATGGATCTGGATGGTGATCTGATCATGCCCTCCACTAAAGTTTGCAATCTTGGTGTTCTCATTGATTTCACGCTTTCATTCAATGATCACATTGGTAAAGTAGTAAAGACAGCTTCCTCTTCAGGAACTCGAGCTGCGTCGGAAACGCTAGGGGAACGCCTTCTGTGACCACGCTCTGAATAACATGTGAAATCAGTCCAATAGCTGAGCGGGACGTCACGGGCGGGTGACGTCATGTCCAGGAAGCTATAAAAGCACATGCGACGGAGCCAGCGTCAGCTTTCTGTCATTCAGCGAAGCGCTCTGTGTGTGTCAGTCATATTTATTGTTGTCTGTCAATTGTGAAAGTCTATAAGCTCCAGCTATGTCTAAGCTCATGCAAAGACAAAGCATTTCAAGGGCGAGAGCAAGCCACGTTGTAGGTTGTGTGTTCCTCTCTGCCCAAAGAAAACGTTATATCACGAGTGGGGATACACACAGCCTGTGCGTGGTTTGCTTCGGAGTAAAGCACAGTTGTTACAGCCTTGCTTCGCTCTCAGAGGGCTCTCTTTGAGGAGGGAGCATTCACTAGTGTTCCTTGCGGTGCCGGCCCCGCTTTCGCAGAGGCGGAGCAGCGGCTGTGCTCGTGGGTTTCACGTATGGATCTGCTTCCTAATCACCAGATCCGGCGCCCGCTCTCGGGGTTTCGGAAGCCCGCGCTGCGGTCCTTCCCACCGGAGAGAGGGTGCGATGCTCCGCCTGTCTTTCTCCGAGAAGATTGATACGGAGGGCGTCAATGAGCTCGCCAGTTGCACAAACATCAGTTACACAAACATATTATGCCTGATATTATAATGAGCAGCATTAATAGGGAGCGGAACTCGCGCAGTCGGCTCTCAGGGGGCAGATTGTGTTTTTTTCCCGCTGTTAAGCTTTCCGCTCTCGCCGGGCACGCTCCGAGGAGTGTGTCCGTGCCTGTGATCTTGCGATTGCGGTCCCGCTGCTGCTGAGCCACGGCAGCGACTGAGAACGCGGAGATCGCACATGATCTAGCAGACGGGTTGGCGACGGCTCTTCCTATCTCCACCCGTGTTCGCTAGATCTAGAGCTCGTTCTC